CCTTCTCCTCCCTCTCCCTCTCCCTCTCCCTCTCCCTCTCCTTCCTCTCCTTCCTCTCCTTCTTCTCCTTCTCCTCCTCCTTCTTCTTTTTTTTAAAGCAGGGTCTTTCTGTGTAGTCCAGGCCAGCCTGGAACTCATTAGGTAGCCCTTGCTGGCCTCAAGCTTGAGGCTATCCTGCTGCCTCAGCCTCTTGAGTGTTGATAGCAGGTCACACCACCATGCCCAGCTCATTAGTTTATTATTCTTATTATCCAACTCCATAACAAGCATCTTGGCCTGATCTTCTAGGAACACAATATCTTATCATAGTTACAATTTTCCTTAAAACACCCTGGGATTTGTTGGTGGAATGAAGGCTATAAAGCATATTCGAGGTGAGGCTGTTTAAGAAAGCTGTTCTGATACTTCCAGAACCTTAGACAAGATCCAATTCCTTCCTCTTTTGGCAACTCATATGGAGGGAAAGCATGGTAAAATTTCTTAAGCATCCCGATTGCTTCTATTATTTTTATTATTCTAAATCAGTATGGTAAAGAATACTGTCTCCTTAGAACAAATATCTAGGGGCATTACAACTATTCACAAGGATGGACTAACATCTATGGGTGCCAGTGACTTAAGGTTATACATGAGTACAGCTTGTCTTATAAGCAGCAACTTCCACTTCAGGAGTGGTTAGTAGATTATCTAATCAGAGAGTGGCTCCCACAGAGTAGTTCAGAGTAGTAATCCAAACATCAGAAATTTCACCAATGGCAGCTCTCTTCTAACAGGCATTATATAAGTTAACAAGCAACTCTTGTCGCTGGGGAAAATCCTTTTCTGGTAACACCTGTGCCGTGAATAAGCCGCGGAGCAGCAAGGCATATAGGCTGCCTCTGTGTGGGTCGCCTGCCGCCCAGAAATAATGGGGCCGATTCTGCCACTTGATTAAAGCCTCCATTCATAAGAGCCAGCGCTGGGCTTCTCAGAACTTAAGGGAGTAGATGCCGGGCACTGGGCTTTGCCTGCCTGCTAAGGACTGTTCTCCCCTGAGCTGCATGAGGCAGATCCTAGTGTGCGGTTTGTTCCCTGAGACTGGTGCGTGGGGAAGCACAGCCGCCGCGTCAGGGCTCTCTGCAAGTCACTGCTAACCAGAGGAAGCTCAGAGCTGCTCACGATCATCTCGGGTCACTTTAGGCCATCTACATCACTTCCGGGAGCAGAGCAAGGGCCCCAGACCACTCAGGAATCCCCAGTCTCTGTGACCTCCTCCTTGTCCTTGTCCTCCCTGCTTCCTAGCTGCAGCTTCTTCCCATCCCACCTCATCCAGGACTTCATTCTTTTGTCCTCCACCCATTCCACCCACCCTTCACCCACACACGATTCTTCAGTGAAGCTTAAACTCTTATAGAACGAAGCCAGAAAAGGGGCTCTTTCCAAGTAGCTTGAATTGCCATCTTTCTCCAGGGGCCAGGGACCCAAGTGTGGATTTACTTGCTTGGAAAGTGCCAGGAGCTTGGGGCATACTCACTGCCCAGACAGGCTGTGCTGGGTCCACTCCCCGCCCTCCCCTGCGCTGCCACTGCCATGCCCGGGAGGCTGGCTTATAGGACCACATACCGCAGCGCGCTTTGCTTCCTAACTCCCAGGGAGGTTTTGTCAGTGAGAGAATGAGAAGAGAGAGGTTAGCTTTTTACCTGTTTGCATCTTCCTGGTGGCCGCATCAAAGGGCACAACTGCAGAATGGCAACATTTTCCTTCCCCCACAAAGAGGTACCCTAGAGTTATAATCCCCAGGACTTCCAAGTGCATCCTTGGTTAGAGAAAGGCCTTTACACGGGTAACAGGCTATAGGATGCGCCCTGATCCGGAGTGACCTGTATCCACATAAGAGATGCGGACGCAGTGAGAGACACACAGGGTGACAGCACACGGGGCCACAGGAAATACGGCCATCTGCAATGCAAACAGGCCGACTGTCTCCTCCACAATCCCCACAGGAAGCCACCCCCTCCAACACCCTGTGTTCAGATTCCTAGCATCCAAAACTGGTAGAGAGTATATTTCTACTGTTTCAGCCACTCAGTCTGTGGTACTTTATGTTGTTGTTTTAAGAGCAGAATATATTTATTGGGGGAAAGAAAGCTTCTATCCCTTGGGGCCGGGGAGATGGCTCAGTGGAGTGCTTCCCTGGCAAGTGCAAGGGCCCTAGTTCTAATCCCTGGTTCCACCAAAAGAAAAAAAAAAAGCTTCTATCCCAGAAAGTGACAGCAGAGAACCTGAGTGGTTTCTTTCTTTCTTTCTTTCTTTCTTTCTTTCTTTCTTTCTTTCTTTTCTTTTTTTTTTTGAGACAGGGCCTCACCATGTTGTATATGCTGACCTTGAGCTCTCTGTGTAGCCCAGGCTGGCCTCAAACTGACAGCAATCCTCCTGCCTCAGTGTACAGAGTGCCTGGATTACAGGCATGCGCCACCACACCCGACTCCTTATTTCCTTTTTGATGGATCTGCAGGAATCATTTGGGTTTTAGCAGTGCCCTCCTACTGTCCTTCTCCATGTGTCCTCTCATCCTGATGATTCTCACAAGGTACAGATCATTTATTATTGTCTTAGACAAATACTTGAGCACCCAATCAACACCGAGCTGGGTGTAGGTAGGAAGGGTACAACAAACAAAATTGGGACAGGGTCCCTGCCCTGAGAGAGCTTACTTTCTGGGGGACAGCTCTTTCCCATGTCTGGGACGTTTCCGAGCCACCTACAGTGTTCCCGAGCTGGCACAAGCCTCACAGTCTTCACATTCTGCCCCCATTCTCCTTCACTCGTCAAGTGCAAAGCCGAGACGGTGCTGCAGTCTTTCTTGGCTAGCAAGTGCTGTCTCTTTTGCAATGTGCCCAGAAATGCTATCACTCAGGTTCCTGTACCCGATATTAATGATCTGAATTTCGAATTGGCCAAAGCTTCCTTTCCAGCCTCACCTTCTGCCTCAGCCCCAGTGCCCACCCACAGGTCTCCACGTCTGCTGTTTTGCTCAATCGATTTTCACATTCCTTCTCCACCCATGGAAATCCTACACCTTTCCCAAGACCCAGTTCAAAACTTGCCTCCTCCCTCGTGGACTGCCCTGCTCAGTGAGTGACTGCGAGCCCCACACCTGCCCCGACTGCACTATTACACGCTCACCTTCCTTTCCCAATTTCCCAGCTCCTCGTTTGCCTCCCTACTGCAGTCTATTCTTTTAGAGCCAGGGACTTCAGAGCCTCCTCCTGTCCAGCTGCGGTGTAGGCACACACCACACCCTGAGGCTGCTGTCATCTATATATATGACAACACTCAGATGTCCTGTTGACCTTATTACAACTCTCTGATGGTCACAGGATAAAAATGCCTCATAATACACTTTTGAAAATATATATCTCTGTATTTTTCCCCATCCTGGGGATTGAACTCAAGGTCTGTGCAGTTAACTACTTCCCTACTGCCCTTATTCTAAAGTTTGAAATAGAGTCTTCCTGAATCACCACACTATCTAGGCTGGGCTTCAACCTGTGATCCTCCTGCCTCTGCTTCCCAGAGTGCTAGATTACAAGGGTGTACCACGATACCTGGCCATATCCCTCCTTAAACTATGCGTGACTACATTTTACAAGGTTGGCAAACAGGCCTGAACTAACAATGGCTGAAGATATATCAAAAGAACAGGAATAGGGGGCTGGTGAGATGGCTCAGTGGTCTAAAGCACCTACTTAGAACAAGCTTAGCAAAGCACAGAGACCGCAGTTCGATCCCCCAGCACCACATGCCAGCCAGCCCTGCCCCCTGGTGGGCTGAGCTGGCCACACACACACACACACACACAAAAAAAAAAAAAAAAAAAAAGAACAGGAATATTTCATAACATGCAACAAATAGGTGAAATTCAAATATCAATGTTGAGAAATAAATGTGGACAGTAACATGGAAAGTGCACATTTTCTACGATGGCTGTTGAGTTCCAGTGGCAGAGCTGAGAAGTGCAGATGCTGCTGCACAATAAACCAAGAGGCTGGGTATGCATCCTCTGCAAGTCTGAATGTCTCCATACAATGGAAGCCATAACTACCTTGACTTTAGATGGTCACAAACATCAAATGAGATAATGCGCTGAAAATATCAAAATATCCTATGAACTTTAAGATGTACTTGACAGAAGATAAAGTGGTATGAGAACACATGTATTTTTCTCCCTTTCTTCCTTTACAGTATTTATTTATCTTTTGAGATAGGGTCTCGCTATCCAGATCAGGCTGGCCTTGAACTCACTTTGTAGCCCAGGCTGGTCTCGAACTTTCAACGATCTTCCTGCCTTAGCCTCCCAAGTACTGGGATTGCAGGCATGCACCACCACACCTGGTTTACAGGTTCCGTGTGTGTGTGCGTGTGCGTGTGTGTGTGTGTGATATTCCCACTTCCTTTTCTTATACCTCTTTCTGCTGTTTTGTTTCATTTTAAGACAGGGTCTCGCTATGCAGCTTAGGTTGATACTGAGCTCACTTTTCAGTCCAGGCTGGTCTTGAACTCGAAAAGATCCCTCTGCCTCAGTCTCTCGAAGGCTGGGATTACAGGCGTATGTCACCATGCCCGGGTGCATATTCTTTAAATAAGTCTCTTAAATGGCTCTAACCGTAGCTCAGGAAAGGAAAGGGGACAGCCCTGATTAATTCATTTTACAGATTAGGAAACTGAGGCAGATTCCAGCGGATTGGGAGGCTCTGGCTCGGCACACAAGAAGCCCTCAGCGTCTTTGGTAAGGAACTACCTGCTGCCCGCGAAGCGGAACAAGCCTCCCCAGGCCAGGTTTCCATGGTTAGTTCTCGCACGTGAGCCTACATTCAGCCTCGGAGATCCTCCCGGCTCTCCGCGCGGCCCCCCTCCCCGGAGCAGGTGGTAGGCTCCGCGTCCAATGCGCAGGCGCGCGGCGCCGTGAGGAGGCGTGGCGAGGCGGAGCGGGGCGGGGCCTGCGCGGGCTGGGTTTGGGCTGCCGCGGGAGCTGGAGCGCCCCGCCACTCGAGTGCGCAGGCGCCAGGCGGTTACCGGTCTCGCCATGGAGCGGAAAGGTGAGCGGTGGAGCGGCCTCCGCCACGAGGGGCAACGGCCGCCGGAGCGAGGCCCGAGCCAGCGCCGGGAGCCTCGCCTCTTCGCCGCCTTCCCGGACCCTGGGCGTGCGGCATCTTCCTCGGAGGTGGCGCCGCCCCTCACCCCCGCCTCTGGGCTGTGGGTCCGCGCCGCTCCGCTCGGGCGTCCTCGGGCACCGGCAGTCACCGCCCCTTGCTCCCCGCCAGCCGGGCTCGCGCCTTGAGGCCACTTCGGGCCCCGGCCGTCGTCGGGCGAGCAAGACCCCCGGTCCGGCCCGAAGCCCCTCGGGCGTCCCCCGCCTGGGTTCCGCTGTGCGCCCCGTGGGCCGCCAGCACCCCGGCCCACCGCTTCGGCCCGCGGCCGCCCTTCGGGCAGCCCCGCGACCGGGCCTGGCGCCCGTGCTGGGTCTCCGCCCTCACCTCGGTCGCCTCCTTCCCCCCGCACTCGCCCTTCATCCATCCCTCTCTCCTGCAGTGCTTGCGCTCCAGGCCCGAAAGAAAAGGACCAAGGCCAAGAAGGACAAAGCCCAAAGGAAGTGAGTCTTGCTCCCCAACGTCGCGTTCTTTGGATTTCCTCGGGCTCCTCCTCTGCTCTAGTTTCGGGTCTCGAACGTGCACCCGGTGTGGGGCCCTCGCCACATGACCTCGGGGCTGCTCGGCGGGTCGCTCTCCGGAAACCTTGTGGAAGGGAGCTGCTTTCTGTTGCCGCTCGCCAGGCCTGGGTCTTGTTAGCCGCCCAGGCCTGCAGGAAAGGCTGCTGGAGGAGAGCCCGAGCCCGCCCGGCACCTCGCCTCCCCGGCACCTCGCCTCCCCAACTCCACGAGCCGAGCCACGAGCTCCCCGAGTTTGGGCCCCCCACCAGTACATCATTACTAGTCTGTCCGTGAACTCTGGTCTCTTGCTGACTTGCTTCCCAGTGTCTTGTCTCCTGCGTCTGCACGGTAGGCCATCAGGAAATTCTTAATGAATTTTCCATGTTTACTTTTGGTTCTGCCAGCCACATGCTCCCTTTCATAGAAAAGGGCACGGAGCTTTGCACTGGTTAGTCAGCTTCCTGAGCCCGTGGGGCGCTTGGGCTTCCTTGCCTTGTGCGTGATCGGGTGTGCGTGCCCCCTCTTGGCTTCTCTTCCTGTACCTCAAGCCCTCTCCCTGAATGCAGATATCCTCCTGGCGTTTTCACCGCGCTGCCGGCAGAGTCTCTTAGCCAACGCTTTTGGAGATTCTGGTTTGGTGTCTTAAGTGCTACACGTCGAGTTTCCTGGCAGGATGCACCACAGCGGTTTAAGCTCTATTGTGGAAAACACAGAAGTTGGCTACCGTCTGGTAAAAAGAAACGCCCCTGGTGGAGGGCTTCAAGCCAGTGAGGTTTAGCCTTAAGAACTTTTGTGCCGCGGTTTACTTACAAAGGAAATCAGCTTAGGCAATTTGCATTCCGGAAAAAAGAAAGGTCACCTAGTTGTTGATTTTAAATGCACTATTTTCCGTACAGTTACTCATGTTTATATTTTCTGGCGTTTTATATTGTCTGATTCAATAACCCGTTTTAGAGACTTTCCTAGGTTGCCCACCTGAATGACAGTACCAGATAGGGGTGTGTGTGTGTGTTGTTTTGGAGGCTACCTAAATTTGGGGAGAGCAGCTAGTGAGCTTTCTTTCAATACAACAGAAGTGACAGGTGATTTCGCCTCTTGCTCCATTTTCTATTAACTTACGAAAGTTTTTACTTTGTAAAAACTACTTGGCATTGATTTCATTATATTTATCCAAAACCAGTTTCTTTTTTTTTCTCCCCCCCTCCAAAACCATTTTCTAATCCTAGATTGATTGGTTTGATGGAAACTGTAAGGAGCTAGCCCAGTTTTAGTATACACTAGGAATTTAAATGTTGCTTTTGTTTTCCACGTCCTTTAGTTTTGTTATTCTGTGTGGAGCTGATATGAATGTTTTAGAAAACATTTGTTTATTGACATAAAGAGGTAGTAATTTTATTAACTATCTTTTAGGAGTTCCAGTCTCTCAGGTCTTCTGTTGTGGTCAGTCATACCACTTGGGATTTAGCTTGGTATCTGTGTGAATCGAACCAATTTCAGAAGCAAATATATATATATATATATATATATATATATATATGTATATATGTATATATATTTGATAACATTCATCATTTTTTATTTTATTTTTTTTACATTCATCATTTTTAACCTAGATGTTCATTACTTTGGATTAACTATGCACCATGTGCTTTTTTTTTTTTTTGTCTTTTTGAAACAGGATCTTATGCCGTTCAAGCAGCTAACCTTGAGCTCACTGTGCAGCCCAGGATGGTCTCAAACTCACAATGATCCTTTTGGCTCCTATGCTTCATTTCTAAAGCCATTTCTAAAGTACTATGTTACTCCTCCGTTTACTCCTATGGGTAACTTCAGGTTGTTTTTTGTTGTTGTTGTTGGTTTTTTTGTATTTAGGGTCTCACTCTGGAGATTGGACTTGTGATTCTCCTGTTTGCAGGCTCCCAAGAGCTGGGATTATAAGTGCGCACCACTATGCCTAGTCTCTGCCACGGTCTCAGCCTGCCCTGGTGGTGGGGCCAGCACAGCACCCTGGAGATTGAACCCCACCGCTGCGCTCTGCCTAAGCAGGCACTTTAGTCCACTGTGCTATCCGGTCAGCCCTCAAGTAGTGTTCTTAATTATTTCCATACTTGCTCTATTGTGAAGGTAGGAATTACAAATACTCTTAGCAACTATTTTACTGAGTATTTCATTGTGTATAACTTTGGCTCCTGAAAATATATGTATGTTGCTCACATTTATTTATTTATTTATTTATCTATTTATTTTTGTTGATACGGGTCTTGTTACCCAGCTCAGACTCCGTAATGATCCTCTTGTCTCAACCTCTTCAGTGCTGGGATTCTCACGTTTACTTGTAATCAGTTGGGTAGATAACTGTCTTAGAAGTTCAAGCACCACACAGTTCAGGTCCTTCAACTCTTCTGTGACTCTTGACTGTATTCTTAACAGCTTGCAGTTGTTTTGCAGAAAGCAAGCTAATAGTTACCAGGTCAGTAAGGAGGAAGGTCTAAGGAAGGAGCACACAGTACAGTTTTGCTACTTTGTGTCTGGCCTTAATTTCCTTAAACAGTCTTAGGTACTTTTAGGAGTGGTAGCTCAGTCATAATGAAAACTGGTCGGGACCTAAAGGTATAAAAACGAAGCATCCCGCATAATTTAGTTGTGGTACGGTGTAGCCGGAATTTTCTAGCACCCATATTGAGTCCAGGGCTGTGGAGTTGATTGCAGTGAAACTAGCTTCTCCTTCCCCTGAGGGCCACTTAGGAGTTTTCTTCTGGGTTCTTTCACTGTCTTATTTCACTTAAAAAAATGTGTTATCTAATTAATAGTAAATGGTTGGTGCTGATCTTGATGTTACTTTACAGAAAATGAAATTATAATTTTGTTAGATTACTTCTTTAGAAAATTACAAAGCTGGAATTAGTAACCATTACTGACCACCTGGTTACTAACCATGTGTCTAGATGACAATTCCTTTCAATGTCTGAGGCCAGTGGGGCAGAGGCTGAGTGGAGAGAAGCTTCTGATTGAGTGACTCCTGGGTGTCAGGTCTCCCTTCTGCAGCCCCAGCCACCATATTGTGTCTGAAAGGGCGTGGTACTTTCTTCCCTTGAGCATTCAGTTTTTGCTGTATGTTCCAAAAGCCGTGTTCTTCATTTACTTGTCATAAGCTTTTATCATTTAACAGATGGCTGCTTTTGAAGTTTCCATGGAACATAATTTCAAAATGCAATTCATACATAATTTGTTGTCTACCTTAGGAAGTTAGGCAATAATTTTCATTGTATCTCAGTTTAAGAACTTTATAAATCTAGTAGAAACTGGTAGTAAATTTATTTAATTGAACAAGACAGTACTGTACTTTTGCACATCGTAGCACTCACTGATCTGTGGTATCAGAAGATGGGGGTGGATAGTAGCTCTATTTCTTAATTTTCCAAAAAATGTGAATTGTTACATTGAAAATTTAGAGGGGGGAGATGCTTAAAAATTTTTTAAATCTTTGTCTAGTAGAATTTAAAGGGATTGAGGAGATAGCTTAGTGGCATAGTGCCTGCCTGGCAAGTGCAAAGTTCTGAGTTTGATTCAGTACAAGAAAAAAAGACATAAAACCATTATATTTGAAATAGAGCCCCAGCAAGCCTGGGGGTGGAGCCAGTGTGGCCTGTGGTGCCAGGGATCAAACCCTGGTCCCTGTGCTTGCCTAAGAAGGTGCTTAGTCCACTGAACTATCTCGGTGGCGCTTGAGATAATTTTATTTTATTATTATTATTATTTATTTTATTTTTTTTTTAGTGGAACTTGGGATTGAACTCAGGCCCTTGTGCTTGCCAGGCAAGCGCTTATTGTACTGAGCCATCTCCCTGGCCCCTGAGATAATTTTAAAATAAAGTTTTATTTAAATTAATGCTCATGGATGTACCTTGGAAATTCCATTCATTTTGCTTTCTCTTAGGAAACATGGTTATCTTACTTTATTTTTTTCCTAAGATGATATCTTGCTATATAGTCCACATTGGTTCTGGGATCATATGGTCCTCCTGCCTCATCCTCCTAACTAGCTGGGTCTACAACTATAAGCCACAGACTCAGCCAAATATGTACACATTTTAAAGATAAAAATAGAATCAGATGTACTTCTGCCCAGTTAACATTGCTCTGAGGGCTAGGGAGATAGCTCAGTGCTCTAAGCGCCTGCCTGGCAAGCACAAGGACCCAGAATTGACCCCTGGTACCTCATGCTGTGTCAGCCTGGAACCCCAGGCTCGCCCTGGTGCAACCTCCAAAACTGGGCATGATGGTTAAATTATGTGCATGCCTGTAATTAAGTGCTGAGGAGGCTGAGACAGGAACACTTCGAATCCAAGCTGTGTAGTGAGTCTCTGTACCAAATAAAGAAATAAGTAGTTTTAAAAAACATTGCTATAAGGGGCTAGGGATATGGCTCAGTGGAATAAGCGCTTCCCTGGCAAGTGCAAGGGCCTCAGTTCAATCCCTGGTTCCGCCAAAAAAAAAACAAACAAAAAACATTGCTGTGAATTATGTTTCATAACAGTAAATGTTACATTATAGGTTCCCAGTTTTTCACTTAATTCAAAGTTAAGATGAATAATCTTTTGGATCAATTATTATTTTTCTCAGTGATTATTTTCCTAGGATAAAGCCTTTCTTAGAAGTGATATTACTCAGGTATGTTGTAAAGAACTTTGATGCATATACTCCGGTATTTTTGTTGTTGTTGTTATTATTCTTTGAGACAAGGTCTTGTTTTGCAGCTTAGTAGGCTGGCCTTGAACTCACTGAGTAACCCAGATTGGCCTCAAGCTCCAGTAATCCTCCTCCTCAACCTCTTGAGTGCTGGGGTTATAGGCATGCATCACCATGCCTAGTTCTCAGGATCTTGACTCTCACTTATTGAGAAAGTTTTCCATGTTTATTGTTTTTGTTTTTTGCAGAACTGG